AAGTGGCTGGCTCACTGCTGCCAACTAGTGGTCAGAGGCTGAACTACAACATAAAAATGAACGGCTGGCAGGAAAGTTGACATTTTAAACCTGAATAAAACAATAGATACAGGGCTTTAGAATATCGATACAGTATCGGGAAATGAAATAGCGCGATATTTCAGTGTATCGATATTTTCTTACACCCCTAATTATGAACATTCAGATTCAATCTGAGAAATTCAGATTCAGTTCCTGTTGGCACAAGATTGATCCCATGAAGGGATCTAACGTGGTTTTGTTAGTTTTTGTTTCATGACTGAACTGCAGTAAAACCTTCTCCTCTCCTCGCTCCACCAGGTAACGCTCTCCAGAGATGGGTGATTGGAGCGCTCTGGGTCGGCTGCTGGACAAGGTCCAGGCCTACTCCACAGCCGGGGGCAAGGTGTGGCTGTCGGTCCTCTTCATCTTCAGGATCCTGGTCCTGGGCACGGCGGTGGAATCGGCCTGGGGGGACGAGCAGTCGGCCTTCAAATGCAACACGCAGCAGCCCGGCTGCGAGAACGTCTGCTACGACAAGTCCTTCCCCATCTCCCACGTCCGCTTCTGGGTCCTGCAGATCATCTTCGTGTCCACGCCCACGCTGCTCTACCTGGCCCACGTCTTCTACCTGCACCGCAAGGAGCAGAAACTCAACCGCAAGGAGGAGGAGCTTAAGGCCGTGCAGAACGACGGCGGAGACGTGGACGTGCCGCTGAAGAAGATCGAGCTGAAGAAGCTGAAGTACGGCATCGAGGAGCACGGCAAGGTCAAGATGAAGGGCGGTCTGCTGAGAACCTACATAGTCAGCATTTTTTTCAAGTCCTTGTTTGAGGTGGGCTTCCTGGTCATCCAGTGGTACATGTACGGCTTCAGCCTGGCCGCCGTGTACACCTGTGAGAGGTCCCCGTGTCCCCACAGGGTGGACTGCTTCCTGTCCCGTCCCACAGAGAAGACCGTCTTCATCATTTTCATGCTGGTGGTCTCGCTGGTGTCCCTCCTGCTGAACGTCATCGAGCTCTTCTACGTCTTTTTTAAGAGGATCAAGGACCGGGTGAAGGGAAAACAGCAGCCGGCCCTGTACGCCAGCGGGGGGACCCTGACCCCCACCCCCAAGGAACTGTCCACCACCAAGTACGCCTACTACAACGGCTGCTCGTCCCCCAGCGCCCCGCTCTCCCCCATGTCCCCGCCGGGCTACAAGCTGGCCACGGGGGAGCGGGGGACCGGCTCCTGCCGCAACTACAACAAACAGGCCACCGAGCAGAACTGGGCCAACTACTCCACCGAGCAGAACCGGCTGGGACAAACCGGTGGAGGAAGTACTATATCCAACTCCCACGCTCAAGCCTTTGACTTTCCCGACGACGCCCACGAGCACAAGAAGCTGCCGCCGTCAGCGGGACACGAACTGCAGCCGCTGGCTCTGATCGACGCCAGGCCCTGCAGCCGGGCCAGCAGCAGGATGAGCAGCCGGGCCAGACCCGACGACCTGGACGTGTAGACCCCGGTGTCAGACCCTGGTGTCAGACCCCGGTGTCAGACCCCGGTGTCAGACCCTGGTGTCAGACCCCGGTGTCAGACCCCGGTGTCAGACCCCGGTGTCAGACCCCGGTGTCAGACCCCGGTGTCAGACCCCCAGGAGGAGCAGCGGGCTGTGTTTCAGTCCAGATCTGTTTGAAAGCTGGGACTAACCTGTCCGTCAGTAGAGAAACACTCAAACACAAAGTAACATTTTAAAGGTACGACTTGCAACAACTTTCTCTCTGAATATTTCAGGAAAGTCTCACATTAAGAAAAATCAGATTAAAGGGTTAAATTGGTTCAGAATTAACAAATTAAAGTTTTATTTAGTTAAACTCCTGACTTTAAACCTGAGCTGGAAAAATGAGCAGTGTGTGAAGGTTTCATCTCTTCACACACTTAAAGTGATCCATGATTAGTTGTAACATTAGACGTTATTTAAAAACATATATTTTAACTGTAAAATAAAGACTGTAAAAATACTGTAGGATGTTTAGTTTTTATCATTTTTAAACTAAAAGTTAAAAAATACGTTACACGGACGGRGCCATTTTATTTCCACACAAAGCATTCTGGGTAAATGATGACGTGGATAGGTCCTCGGTGCGAGGCTGCTAGTGAGCTATATCCACCCTGAAGGTTAATCTTGGACAATATCTGATGATCGACTCTTTTAAATGAAACCAGAGAGCGTTGACAGAGAGGAGAAGGTAGAAATAGCGCGACAAACAAGCTAAACTGTTGTCCTCCATCCATATTTTCAGTTACAGCTGAGTCATTTCTACCTTCTCCTCTCTGTCAACGCTCTCTGGTTTCATTTAAAAGAGTCGATCATCAGATATTGTCCAAGATTAACCTTCAGGGTGGATATAGCTCGCTAGCAGCCTCGCACCGAGGAYCTATCCACGTCATCATTTACCCAGAATGCTTTGTGTGGAAATAAAATGGCTCCGTCCGTGTAACGTATTTTTAAACTTTTAGTTTAAAAATGATAAAAAGTAAACATCCTACAGTATTTTTACAGTCTTTATTTTACAGTTAAAATAAATGTTTATTAAATAAAATCTAATGTTACAACTGATCGGGGATCCCTTTAACAGAGCAGAGATATGTAGAAAACATCTGAAAGTCCCGATAATAAACACTGACACAACTCTTTAACTTTGGAGGATATTTTCCAAGAATCAGGATCAGTTTGAGCATATTTTAACTTTACATCTTTAATCTGTGCGCCGTCACATCAAACTGAGGATGAAGTCAGAACGAGCTCAGCGTATTTCCAGATTCCTGCTCAAGCCACATGTTGATCCCTGGATCCTCCTGAGATCACGAGCACTTCACAGATACGACTTCTTTTGTCTTGTTAATCACAAAAACACATTAATATTTAGTCCGAATCCTATTTTTTAGTTTATTCTAACGAGGAATTATTGATGTCCGTTTAAAGAGTTTCCACTTRGCTCACAGGGAAATAATATAACTCATATTGTGTTTTGTGTAGCTRCCATTCAAAATAATGCTTCAAAGAACGTTTAAATTTATATTTCAGTTTGTTCAAAGGATGAGTCGTTTATTATATATTTAAACAAAATACAATTATTGCAAACATTTTAATGAAAACAGTAAATCTGCCTGTTTCTCCTCACAGTAAAACTTTGAGACTCAATCCTGGGTTTGATGTGACGAGTTATGATACGTCACAAACACTCAAATATATTGTTATCCTGACACTTTGGACGTGTGTATCTAAGATTTATTAGATATATTTAAATGATGTGGACAGCTGTGGATGTCTTTATGACATCTGATCTGGTTATTTTAGAGATGATCTGCTGAAAACACTGAATGTTATCGACTTTAGAGCTCTTTCCTGAAACATGCACACAGTTCAGTTCAGTTGTGTAACCTGCTTCAGGTGTGCTCTGAATTCCATACAGGTGCTCAGAAATGTGTAATCTGGACTGGGATTCGATGAGTTTTGATGGTTTCTGCTTCCTCTCAGTTTAAATCTGAGAAGCTTTTCATCCTTTTACTGTTCAACCAGAGACCGACCTTCTACTAACAGTTCCATTTTCACTTCTTCTTCTGGTCTCCAAACGTTGTTTAAAGTGCCTGTGACATCGATTTTTCTTTATAAATATGAATGCATTTTCAGAAAGATAATATTGACCACATGTTGCAAAAGTATTTTCACGTGGCTGAGATGAACAGTTGTTTAGATATTCTTATGTTCAGGAACAGGAAGTGATGTCAAAGGGGAATGTAAACAGAGAATAACTAACAACCCTGTAGGGAAGAATCTGATGTTTCTTTGGATTATTTTGAGTCACAATCAGAGAGATGAAGAGAGTTCAAATATTGTTTCAGTAAATAAAGATCAGAGTTCATTTTCTTAAACAGTTCCCCTTTGATGTCACTTCCTGTTTCACTTTGAGCCAAGTTCTAAAGAAGAAAATGCCAGTTTTGTGGCAAAACATGAAAACCGTGTGTTTTTTGTCAAATAGTTTTTAAATAAAAAGACATTTTCTTGACTTTTTTGTATTTGAGGGACGTGCACGTCACAGGTACTTTAACCCCATCTCCAGAAGGGGGCGGGACATAAAAACGTATCCAGAACACACCTGTCCTCACCTGCAGCTGTCTAAAACAAAAAATAACTCCAAGTTAAGAGTCCAATCTGTCCTTTTGGACAGAGATTAAAGACGTGTTCCAGAGTGTGTCCTGCTGCTTTGGCAGTGGAGTGCGAACAGTTGGACACAGAACCGGGTCAGCGGGTTGTTTGAACAGTTGGTTGGTTCTGTTGGGTTATAGGTGAGGACACTCCCACGCTGGGTCTGACTCCTCCAGCTGAAAACAGATTCTGTAACGATCCTAACACAGATTTAAATCTAACATTTATTGGTCAAATATTGCAAATAAAAACAAAAAGCTGACTACTGTCCTGAATCAAACCTCCCACAAACATTTGTATTTATTCAGAGGAAATATCCATTTTGTCCCTCATCAGTCACTGTTGATTGTTAAGTCCTGAGAAACTTTGAATTTTTTTTGCTGTTTTTATTTTGTACTTTGTACACATGTTCCTTTAAACTAGACTTTATTTCTTTCATTTGAATATTTTTTCCTCCTCTCATGGTTTTTAGTTGTAGAAAAATGCAGCTGCGTTTGAAATGTTGTGCCTGAGAGTTCTTCACTTTGTGTTTTAACATTGCTGCTTGAGAAATAGATATTTTAGTACTGTAAATCAAACCTATTTGTCAGAATAAAAATGTGAATAAAAACTGGTAATAGACCTGGACTAATATTTAGTCTCATGTTTTTGCAGCTCTAAAATCATCAAAGACTAGTTTGATGCTAATCTGGACGTCGTTTTAATTGAAGTTTTTCGGTCAGTGTTGCTGATACTTGTTACATCGGGACTTTTGCACTGAGAGGTTGGTGTCATTTGTTCTGTTACTAATTTATTTGAGTCCACAGAAAAGAAACGATCAGATCCGACATGACCTTTGGTTTTATTGAAGTATTTTCATCTCTGACAGAAGTTCTCGCAGGTATTTTAACACTGTTTACCAAGTTAGATGGTGTCAGAACATGACCGCTCATGTATCTGTGAATAGATGTTTTCACCAATAAATATTTTCTTTCCTAACACTGGATTGAATTCTTTCATTTCATCATCATCGCTGGGATTTCACAAACCTCTGGTGCAGTTTTATTATCTGAGAAAAAAACTTTATTTGGATTAAACCTTTTTAACGTTGAAGCATTAAAGCACAAAGTTAATATTGTGTTGTTTCAGTCAGGGTTTAGGCTCCGGGTCTCTGGTCAGGACGTCTTAAAGGGATCCATGATTTGCTGTAACATTAGACTTTATTTGATAAATATACAGCAGGTAAAATAAGTATTGAACACGTCACCATTTTTCTCAGTAAATATATTACTAGAGGTGCTAATGACATGAAATTTTCACCAGATGTTGGTAACAACCCAAGTGATCCATACATACAAAGAAATCAAACCATAAGTG